GCAGTAAATAGGATTCGTGTCTTCAGAGGAAGTGGCTGCTACTCGTACATAGGGATGGTTGGCGGAGTTCAGGATCTTTCCCTAGGATTGGGATGCGAATCGGTGAAAGTGTCAGTTAGCTAATATTGTATCTTGCTATTAGCTTATGCTTACAGTATGGCACAATCGCCCACGAATTTTTCCATGCTCTTGGAGTGTACCATACGCAGTCACGAAGTGATCGTGACGATTACGTCAGTGTACGGCTATCTGTTGTATCTGTAAGCAAATCATATATATTCTGTTTGTCTTGGACTCAGAAAGCTTGTCATTCACACTTAGAGTGATCAACGCCACAACTTTGCGAAACTACTTGCAAGCGAGTCGACAAACTATAATCCTTACGAATACGGCAGTAGCATGCATTATCGGGCTGATGCGTAAGTTACTAGCTCTGACCGTACGAGAAAACATATCTGACAAGTTATTTAGAAAAAGTTGTATAGGGAGAAAATTAGAAGAAGTATTAGCGCATGTCTCTTGTTTTTATCATTAGCTCAGTTTGATTAAACTGTTGTTCATAATATTCTTACAACAATTTTAAATACCTCAATACATTTTTAAAGCCCAATGTTCCAGCACATCGCCTTCTTTAAAGGACTGAAAGTGATTTATTCACTTTTTTTGTACACTTTCCACCCCACCAAACACCTCCTCCGTCCCGTACATTCAAACATGCAAATCATCCATTATAAACGAAGCTGACTTCCGACATCAACTCGCCAAATGTTTCACTGAGCTTAGCAAAAGCTATAGGCGGTGTAAGATGACTTAAACGCCTTCAAAGAGAACGCAGAATGATAGGAACGTAGATCAGCTGTGATGACGGATGCTCATCCCGATCATTCTAATGCGCGCAATACCCAAGAGGCTAACGCTTTCCGAGAACTTGGCGCCATCATTTCCTGCTTCCTATGCTTTCCCAAAAGGACTCGCAAGACTCTGTCTTCTTTTACTAGCCAAGTGCTCATTTACACGTAGAAGTGGCCGGCTGCTCGCCGATGTAAGTTGCATAGCAATCCATCCAGTTGGTGTACTCCCTATCTGAAACAGCCATTTGAACGCATAACGCAGTT